GCTTTCGCCCTTAAGCTCCCTATTCATATCGATAAACAGAAATAAAGTCATCAATTACATCAGCAAATGCGAAAAGTTAAGAAGTTAGCGGTAAGTATGAGCTAGGCGCAAACTGTCGCCGCTAAAACAATCATTATTATATTTACAGTAGGTTCTCAACAAATGAGTGTCTAGTCTGCACTTAAAAGATTTGACACTTTCGGAAAGAACGACGGCATCAGGGAGTCCATTCCATGCCCCGATGACCCTGTGAGTGAAGGCGTTCCGTCGGACGTCCGAATGAGCCCGCTTCCTATGCAGTTTGAAGGGATGACCGCGCAGACGGTCAGTCCGGGCCAATTCAAAGAATTCATCAAAGTCTAGGGCACACTCATGGCTTCTGACAATCCTGTAGGTTTGAATGAGATCGCCGCGCAGTTGCCTATAATTTAGAGGAAACAGATTTAGTTCGGTCAGCCTGGTTTCGTAAGGCAAATGATGAAGCTTCTTGACCATCTTCGTAGCCATCGCCTGTACTCTTTCCAGTCGTTGATAATCTTTCTTCAACCACGGTCGCCAGGCCTGGACTGCATACTCTAAGTGAGACCGGACGAATGCCCCATAGGTTTTTCCGAACAGCTGTTACAATAAAGTAAGTATTACGAAGGTTGTATGGGCGACATAGGAGGAAGTTTCAAAATATCGTTAATGAGAGACAGGAGATAAGAGAGAAAAAGGCAGTCCTGTCTCACGATTTGGACTCTGTAATATACTGTTTTGTCTACTGCCTGCGTAAACCACTTCCCTTCTAAATTCCTCTTGATTACGGAGACGTTAAGCCTAAAAGTAGATCGTTGGCACATTTTAACAGAAAGACAACAAAGATGCTCATGAAAAGGTGCTCTTTACTTCAAAATAACTAGCTGAGGGGGAACCTTAAGGTTCCAGTCAGAGAACAGGATCGGCACTGGGCTAAGAAGGCGAGAAAAGACAATTGTACTATTGTACAATTGTACTATCCTGTCTTTTCCCGTCTCCTTAGCCCAGTTCGAGTAGAAGATTACGCCTATGCATTCTTTTTAGACCTTATTCATCCCCAGTATTTTTCGCTTTTCCGTACTGCTTCCAATAATTGAGGACTCACAACATCAACGCATCTACATCAACCGCGTTTTTCCCGACTTACTAAAGGTGTTTTGCCAATGGCATTTGGCTGTGTGATTCCATTCGAGGCATAGCTTAGGCATTTAAAGTGAGAATTATTGAGGAGGTAGCTTACGGACTTTAGAATCTGAGTGGTGTTAGCTTTAGGTAAATTGATTAAGTGTTTGTTTGAACCCACCAACGCCTTATTTTCGCACTGCTACCTTAAGTGTGCGATGGAGAAGTCTCAGGGTGCCTGCTCCCTTCCCCCCAAGGAGTCTTCCCTATTTAAAAGGATAGTTGTATGTTTTGCCCGGTTCATACGTTATAAATACTCATGTTAGAAATATTATGATCAAAAGCAATACAAGACTGGACTCAAATTTGCCAATCAAATCCTTTCGAACCCGAAGTTTGCCGAGCATGGAGGTAGCTCGTCTGATTAATGTCATTTTTTCTCCCCACAGAGACACTTTCCATGAAAGGGATCCTGCTAAATTGCATGGGAAAGAAGGAAGAGGCAAGGGACCTCGTAAAGCGCGGCCTGCGTGCGAATCTACAGAGTTTTGTCTGTATGTTCCACAAGTATTTTATATGTAAAAGGCTGGCACATCTATGGCCTAATTATGAAGTCGGACCGGAAGTACGAAGAAGCTATTAGATGTTATATCCAAGCCCTGAAATTGGATCCAAATAATTTGCAAGTTCTCCGCGATCTTTCAGTGTTACAGATGCACACACGTGACCTCGAGGGCTGTAAGGTAACTCTATCGGTGCCCCCTTAAATGTGTATCAGGAAACTAGAACTAAGTTGCTTACCCAAAGGCCGAGTCAAAAAGCTTCGTGGGTTGGCTATGCTGTGATACAGCACTTCCTTGGGAACCTGGACGCCGCTGCGAATGTTGTTAACGAGTTCCTTAAAGTGCAGACCGGCATTGAACCCTACAATTATGAACACAGCGAATTACTCCTGTATTACATAACCATATTGATCGAAAGCGAGCGTTTTGACGAGGCTCTTTCCTTTATGGAATCGTGTACCAAGGATGTGGTAGACCATGTAACTTACCTGGAAACTCATGGTGTGTCGTCTATTTGTTTCATAATCTTTCCCTAGCTGATTTGTTGTTTAAGCTAGGTAGGGGTAAAGAAGCTGAAAAGGACGTTTGGGACTTGTTGGAGAGGAATCCGGAAAATAAACTATATTATGAACTCCTCTATCGCATTGACGCCCCGGAACTTGCCCATCAGCACATAGACGTTTCAGTAAGGTTGAAGGTGCTTCGAAAATGTTTGGACAAATTTCCATCTGCAAGGCTCCCGAAACTCCTCTTTCTCGACTTGTTGGAAGGTAAAATTTATTTTACGACTTCTATTGGAAGGCGACGAGTTTATATCAAAGGCCCATGAATTCCTCCAGAATAATTTGCGGAGGGGTGTTCCGACGCTTTTTGTGCAACTTAAACGCTTTTACACTTCGCCGGAAAAAGTTGCATCACTTGAAAGCTTGTACATGGCGTACCGAAAAAATCTTGACTTATATGGAACTCTTGGACCCGTATCCGGTGCTGGACCGAAGTCAAAGTCGGAGGAGTGTATACCAGAACCACCATCAACCTCGCTTTGGTTGAATTATTTACTCGCCAGTCATTTTAACCACATTGGACAAGTGCAAGTAGGTTTTCTTCAGTGGACCGAATCTTTTAGAAAGCCCTAGATATTGTTTCGGCTGAATTAGAGATGAACCCCACGATTGTGGACTTGTACGTCCTGAAAGCTGAAATCTATCGCGATGCTGGCGATGTCGTCACCGCCAGTCGTTGGATGGAGGAGGCCCAGTCTCTTGACACCGCAGATCGCTTCATTAATGCTCTCTGTACGAAATACATGGTACAGGCTCAACGCTTAGAAGATGCAGAGGCAATGGCCTCAAAGTTTACAAGGGTATGCGAAGCTTCATCTTCTGACCCACAAACTAGGGAAGCTCCACAGCTGCCGCCTACCTTTCCGAGATGCAGTGCATGTGGTTCCTTATAGAAAATGCACTGGCTTTAAGAACGATGAAAAAGTACGGTGAGGCTCTGAAACTTTGCCATGAAATTGACAGAGTGAGTCGCCCCACCTAACTGCCTTTACCCTCTTTATGCGATTTGATCGTCATTATGCAGTTGTTTGTCTTTAAATTCTTTACGATCACATGGCTCATTTTGATTTAAGGATAGTTCAAGTGCAAATTGTCATGGTGGGACGAATTCACGAGAGGCACTTTCAAGTCTAATTGGATGCGCATTATGTCCTGAAATCTTTCATGTTGCTCTCAGCGATAGTCCGCTAACGAATGCGAATCCTATTTGAGGCACAAGTTGGTCTCGAGTTGTTTACATAAGTGTGTGCGCTCTTTCGTGGACTCAGATATCTGCTTGTTGACGCATTTCGGTCTGTTATGTTATCTTTCCCACCTGCTTCGTTCGTAACTTCCCAACTTATGTTCCTAATTGTTTCTCACGTCTCGTTTTAGTTTATGCCCTGAAGAAGTCAAAATACGTCTTCTTGACAGTATGAATTCCTAATGAACTTTCCAACTTCGCAAAACCATAGTCCTTTTCATGGAGGAAGCTGGCCGGCTTCCTAGTACAATAGTAGTGTTACATATATAAGGGAGCGTTATTTCTCTGGGAGGGTCTGTGTTCTAAGACCGCCTTAGGTCAGATGTTTTTATGCACATAATTCATGGTGTGGTCCTGGGTGCGGTGATACTGGTTAGCACAGTACCATTCACAGATCTTATTTGATTGTTGTTAAATTATCGAGCAATCTGCAACCAAAGCTCGCGGACCGTAGCCCTGGTTCAATCACCCGGTTTAGTCGTGTTCTGCCCTGTCAAGTGATTTTTGAATTCGGAGGGTGGTCCCCCCACCACACCATGTAGAGATTCCAAAGTTGCGCAGGACGGCAGCAGGCGAAGTGTTATTGGATAACGGGCAGGGTTCGCTAGGCCTTACTTCAGCCATAGCTCATGACCATTGTGTGGGCAGCTGACTTGTCGGATGGGTGCGCAGTCATGTATGGAGCCATTGTCGCTGAACGAGTCACGATCTCTTCGTCCCCAGACTTTTGCAGTCGCCTATTATGCATCTGGTCTGCGAAAGCTGCCTCACTTTCCGGCACCTACAGACGCGCCGAATAGACCATATATGGTTTACCATGCAGACTTCACTTTTCCGGGACATTATCGCCAATGTTTCTGTATCTCACTTTTTGTATGTTGTGGTGAATACACCACATATTTTTCCATTTTTACCCATGATGTCTGCCAGACATACATTCCGAATGTTTTGCACTCGATGGCAATTTTCTGCTTCAACCGACTGCTCTTGCCTGAATTGTATTGCATGCTTTATTTTTGTAGTCCCTATGAACCTCTGATTTCATTTTTTCCCATGCAGCATTACTCTGCTGTTCTGGAGGATCAGCTCGATTTCCACTCTTACTGTCTTCGTAAGGGCACTTTGCGCGCCTACGTAGAGACGGTGAGACTTGAGGATAGGCTACGAGACCACCCTGCATATTTCAATGCAGCTGCCCTAGCCATTGAGGTACCTAACTTTTTTGTGCATGCTATAAACCTCACCAACTGAGAATGTATTTTCTCACTCTCGAAACCGACTCTGTCCACAACATTTGAAATTTTAGATGTACTTCGAGATTTTCCGTGTTATCGATCTTAAAAGCTGACAAACCATTGTCAAACCTGTTTACTTTTTCCAATATCTTATATCTAGATTTACCTCTTCCTGCATTTAAATCCACTGGGTGACGAGACGGAGACTGTCGACCAGCCTGGCTGTAAGTGCTCGTCACATTTTCCCTTTCCATGTTGTCCATTGGAAGCATGTTTGCCATCATGCTTTGTGTGCTTCTATGGGTTAATACATTTTTCGAAGACTTTTGGAAGGTTGGGTTCTCGGTAATCATGCAATGGCGGTGCGTACACAAGCAGCCACCCTGAATATAGATTGGCTGCACCCTGAAGCTAGATGTCGATACACGTTTAAATTTGCATCATCACGGTAGCACAATTGCTTCGCAAGGAATACGTCGTGTGCTTGAAGAGGGCTTTGTCGAGTTCGCAACTTATGTTGTGGACACTGTACAGAGGATTACGTTTTTGTTTTTCTGATGAGGACAAACGCTAACGCCCATCTCACTCGTTTCGAAAATTTTCTACTTAAAAGCCGCTTTAGAATAACGCAATTTCGTGAAATTTCATCTCTGTAGCTTCCTGACCAGTTTCGGGGGCGGGGGGGGGAAGGGCCTTACGGTTCTCTTCCCAACCCCCGACGCCAACGTGTCCTGCTAGCCAAAAACTAGGGCAGGGTACTGCCAGTTCAGGGCTGGTGGTCCAGATGTACTGACACTTATCACACACATTTCAAGATAGGTAGACTAAACGTGATCACGATTCCCTTGTATTTTTCTATTGTTGCCCAATTATCTACAGACCGTTGTACTGCTTATTGCCTTGGAGAGTAAGTCCTTCGCTAACATATCAAGCCTCTGATTTACTGGCTAAAGAGCTAGTGATGGCTCCAGCTGCGTGACTGAGACAGTCTCCGAGCCGATAGTAGTTATTTTCAGACTATTCCGACGACTATCGTGCTTTGATACTACTTTCCGTCAGACACACAAGGGACAGAAATTGACCGTTTATACAATGTTTTCTGTAGCTAATATGCCCACTTCCGAATTGAAAAAACTACGCAACAAACAACGTCGCGCCGAACGTCGTGCAGAAGCTGAAGCCCAGCGCTCCAAGGCCGACCAAGAGAGACGTGAACAAGGCCAACGCTCTCGGCAGAATGCAGATCGAGAAGCTGACGCAGACAAGCCTCCTGAAGTTGAAGAACTGGATCCCAAAAAACTAGCCAGAGTGAGCATATCATAAATGCTGCTCGGTCAAAACCACAATTTTCCGACCTTTCCACAGCTCGAATTACATCAGCACGTTGCACGCCAAATATCACATGTTGTCTGGCCTAGCACGTTACCTCTCCCTAGATTCGTAGTAATTTTTATTTCCCACAGAGAAAATAGACGCTTCCGTATTTCATGACATTTGTACGTGGTAGTTAGGACTTTCTAACCAGTAATGGGTTCCCTACTCGTTAAAAAGAAGGTGCACGACAATTATGGAATATCTCGATAATCGTATTCTTTCCAGTTTCCAGTTTTAGCTAAGGCAGTTTTCGACCGTTCTCACGATGTATGCTTGTTTTCTGAGAGCAATTTTTTTATCTTACCGACTCTTGCACCAGTCTTTCGTTCATAACGTCCTTGCACCATTTTAAAAGTTGTCGCATGTTAGAAGAACCGTTTAGGCAATCTAGCGAATGCCAACAGGCCACATTTCGGATCTTCGGGTTTCAGCGTAGAGCACCACTTTTTTGATGTGCGAACTATGAAAATATTCACCAACCAGTGCTAAGCGATTTTGCACTTATATGTTTGCATCTGACCTCAAATGCGCGGAAATCATGTAGTTTAGACGAATCGACAACGGTTTTAACACAGATCAGGTAAACATAGTTCGCGTGGGTCTTGTCGGGTAAAGGGAATAGCCAAGCTTTTGCTTTACCTCTTCCAACCCATCTATTTGAAAAGGCGTTGTTTAGAAGCTGATGCACGTGTGACAGGGAGCACCTTCTCGAGAGGTGCTTTTGAAAAGGCGTTCAAACTCCGCCAACCTACATCCCTGTTTTTCTGCGCTGCTTTATACTCTCTAAAATTGATGTTTATCTTGCGTTACAATCGTGGTTTCCTAGCAACTTTGCCCTCGCATGGTGAAACTTCCAGTAAATGTGATGGACTGTTAACTTTATTTGTCCGAGATGTTAGTGCCATCATGAATCGTTAATTTGGAAGCCGGAAGGGCGTTTCGAAATATGCAGCTCGGGTGCAGGCCATGTCAAAGATGAGGTCACTGTCTCGCTCATGAGTAGTTTAACGCATGTTTAATAAGGGCCATCGATGCAAAACTTCTCATTTTACCGGAAATTTAAAAGTCTGGTTTTGTTCCGCGCCTCTCAGGTACCCGTACTAACGTTCTTGGAGCTCGCCGATCCTCTTCATTACGATCCGTTTTGCAGGGCTTATGGTAGGAGCTGAAGCCCCGCAGCACTTCAGCGCTCTCCCCACTATAGTAAATTTGGCAGGCTTGAATTTATCATGGTGTGCTAAAAGCCGTGACTTGAAGGGCCGCCACCTCACGAGACAACTCGGTCCCCTCAGGACGGTGTCAGGCTTCAATGGCTCCTTGTTAATTTAGTTTTATGACACTCTCACTCATTTGGGATCCGAGCTGCCCGTTGTTGTGTGGAAATCAAGTCCATCTTGCGCGGGTCAGGCGTGTGCAGCACGCGTAGACGAGTTGTTTAGCTGTGTCGATCATTGCGCCCGATACCGCCTCAGGTCTTCCTGACTCCATCTTAACACCAAGCCCAGGTGGGGGAAGCAAGAGGGAGTGCGGCAGATGCAATGCCGCAATTCACCGTCCCTGCGCCCACCCTGCTGTGGAGCACACGGTGGACATCGTCGGATTGGATGGTCGAACTGTCGTGTGAGTTGCTCAGGCGACGACTTATTTGGTACGATTTGGCAGTGTTCTTAACTAAACAGGAAGTTTTGATGTTTGCACGTTTGAAGGATACCTGAGTAAGTTGATCTCTGACAGGAACTTGTCCCGAGTTGGGCGAGTAATTCTCGTATGACCGACAGCTTTGTATTGAGATTGCCATACAACAGCAAGCTCAGCGCTGCAAATGGGTGCATCCGAATAACGGTACTTTTTCGTTTTATCAACGTTACTGTCTGATAAACATCGCTTTAGGTGTAAACCAAGAGCTGTTTACCATTGTGTGTCTGTCGACACTGGTTGTCAAACTGGCAAGATAGCGGAAAGTCGCGGGATATTTGACCTGCTAGGATAAGTTTGAAAAGCGCCTGACTCGATACTTTAGTTCCACAAACGTTTACATATATGCTGTTTTACTGTCATAGTTTATCGTGTATGACGTGAAGGCAGTCTTGATAACCAAATACAGTCACTAGGGCTTCTCCCTAAGGAGGAATATGAGGGCTATGCTCTAATTTTAAGTCACAACCGACCTGCGCGTGTCCGCTTGCGGGGTTTCATCTCTGAAGACTTATTACCAGTCGCAAATGATACAACTGCATGCAGTGTAAGTCGACATCTCCGCTATTATAGCAATATCCCATCAGGTAACATTAGAAAGTGACCTTGTCCTGTAGGAGGTTGAAGATTGAATCGAGTTTTCTCCATAATAATCTTGCTGGCGCTTTCCGTATTTAATTACTGTAACCTAGTCTGAAATATCGGCTGAAGTAAGGAATTCAACGAGGCCTACTAAGACTGGTTTCAGACAAATTTTACTCAAACACTGCTTTGTGGTTTTCTGAACTTTGAACCTCATGATAACCATGAGCCGCCGTTGTTCTATAACTTGTTAGCTTTCCGGGCCTTATGCACTCAATTTATCCCCTTCAGCCTGAGGATGCACTATCGGAGGCCGCACGTTTTCTGCAACCACTTGTAGAGCTCTCGAACAGCCGTATTGAAACTCACTGCCTGGCATACGAAATCTATGAGCGCAAGGGTATGTTGGCCCGTATTTCTAGCTTGATATTTTACTCGATTATAAACACCACCCCCAGTATAAAGGCTTCATACTTCAAGCAATGTTTAGAATCTGCCTAGTTACTCTTCCGAAGACAAGACCGCGGCCAATCCGATCACTAGCCGCACGCAAATCTGAGCTGCTAGTGCAGGACTAGACAGAGACGGGTGCAATATTATTAAAGGTGTTAGGCGTTCTTGTTGTCGTCTTTTCAGCTGTACCGTTTAAGTCAACTTTCTCTTCATCCGCTGGCTTGTATTTTAGGCAGCCTCTTAAGTATGTTCCTCCTGTATACACCCGACTGGTCAACTTTTGAGAGTTGAAGTTTGATATGAAGCTAAGTCCTCCGAGCCGCCCTTCTGAGCTTGTGGTTGCATCGCGACATCTGTTAACACCTTTCAGAAACGGGTCTACGAGTTCCTTCATGTTAACCCCGTTAGCCTAAACTAACCCAATATGAAAGTAAAAACTTTCTGATCCGATCGCCTTAGATTATGATCATGCAGTCTAGCTGCTCCTTACTGCGGAATCCAGCGGTAACACTGCTACCAAGAGGCGGTATAAGTTTGCTGTTGTGTCACCAAATTCGAGTTGGCCGCAAATATGTGTTACTTCCGTTCTGATCTGCAGCTTAAGAGCAGCCTTGTAGTTGCATGCTTCGTTGGGCTTATTTCTGTGCATTTCTTTCGTCATCTTCTGGTATTCTTGACTTCTAACCTGCAGAAAAGTGGTTATTGATGCTCCGCTCAGTTCGTCGCGGTTTGGCTCTGCCTGGTGCGGTCGATCACCCCTGGTTTAACGAGTGCACAGTGCGATTCCTACACCGCTTAGCACAACTGCAAAAGCCCACAAACGAAGGAGACGCTCTGGTCAACGAGGTGTTGCTCGAAGAAGTTCGTTCTGTATTCTCAGTCCCTACAAAATCGCCTCTCCCGGACGCGCTAAAGTATAATGAGGAGTTTATTCGAAGGAACTCCAAGTCTTTCATACATGTCTTTCGAGGTACGACGCCATGCCACTGGCTCATGTACAATGTTCGGATTTAACATAGGGTCTATCTATCCTGCCCGTGCTTCCTACATTGTTTTTTTTTTTTCGTACGATTTTTCAGACAAAACGCCTTAACTTCGACGTTTTCAAACAATCTTTGACTGATATTTAGTTTGTACAGTTTGTCAGTTTCGTACATCAATAGTGATTGGTAACGTAGGGATTGCAGTTTGCTCGAATCTTTGAATAATTCACTTAGCACCCTTCCCGTCTCTACCGGGAACGTTAAAAATAAATCTGTTAAGCCTGTCCCTCAGAAGGTCACTAACTTTTTCGCACACATTGGTTTACGGTAGGTTTACCAGAAATCCAGTTCTTAGTTGACGACACACGCCTGCCCACTAGTAGACATAAAATCCATGCGCTTCTGGCCGAATGTCCACTTACAGTAAAAGTAAGAGTTTGCAGTGCGTAGCTAAAAATTTCTATAATAGCGACCTAATTCCCTCTACCTCACTCAGCTCTGGACTTTTTCAGGCACCCTTGCAAAGGCCATTGTTGACCCTGAGTCCGCTGCCTTACATCTGAAGCAGCTGCCCAGTCCGTCGGCCGAAGACCTGGGAGAAATTAAGTGGGATGTAAGCCATTCCCTTGTAGTCCGCTTTTCTTTAATTTATCTTATCTTTTGTTACTTTTCTGACTACCTCGTACCCGTGTCCCCACACCGGAAGTGGTAATCGCTAGAAGCCGGTATGCTTGTGGCCGTTAAGTCATGTACGGTTTAAGTTATCGCCCTTTCTGTAAGATCGATTTGTATATTTTTTACACTATCACATCTGAGTGAATTTTAGCACGGTTTTTAACTTCCTCATGCTGCATAAATAACACAGGACTACCACACACTAAGTACAGCAAAGCAAATGTTTACATTGAAAGTAATTGATTTATCAAGTGCATGCTTGCAAATCGGCACATCTTAACAGTTAGATCAGAAGATAATACGTTTTACAACCGGGAGAACGTTTACTTCAACATTTTTCCCTTCAAATTAAAATCGGGATCATTTTCGTAGAGGCCTTTTGAATTTACGGTCATTTCTTCGAGAAGTAGCCTTTTCTGTCTTAAATGTTAATCAGAAGCAAAGAAAATTGAACACAACAGCATAACGCAGGTAGAAGGGCGGCAAATAGTTAGCATATTTTTTTTATAAACGGAATTGTTTCACCTTCAAATTCGCCCGTCTAGCTATTGCTGGACAAAAAAACGTTCTACATTACGTGATTTTTTTAAATGAGCAATGCAAGGCTTCTACTACTTGCGCTTTATAGAAGGGCTTTATTGGGTCCCTGTCTACGGTGTTGCATTTGCAGCTATTTGATCAAACCCGAGACGAAATTTGTCGCAGGCTTCATCATACAGTCGCGGAGCCCTCAGCAACAAACCCTTCAAATGAATGCTGTTTGTGAGAAGTAATGTACTGTCATCCTCAACGCCAGCGCCCACCTCCAGTTGTCTGGACTTTGTCTTGCAGTTGGAAGACGCTAGGTTTAGAAATAGAATTCATTAGATGCTGCGAGAGTCTGCTTTACTATAAACTGACACGATTCACTACCCCCCTTTTAGGACCTCATCGCTTCCGACGACCGTGCTGTCTGTTGTGGGGGTTGCGAAATCGTGTTAATGGCGCAAAGGTCTACGAGTTGTTACTAGCACGAAAAGTAACGATATGCTGCGATATTTCTAAGAACCTGTGGACCTATAAATGTTTCAGAAACGGGAGGCCATCTAGGTGATAATTCAGCTAAGCCATAACGGTCGTCTTTTCACCTCTTAAACGGGTCGCATTAATTAGTTTGAATTGTTAAATTATCCAGCTGCTCAAAGCGATTACATTATGCATGTTTAGAAAGCGTCCTCGGATTTCTCCGAGTATTTCGACCAGTTGATGTGTGAACTTCAAATAAATTCTTCAGCACAAACCTCCCGTTCGGTCCGGAGCGGATATGACCTGGACTCTCAGCTTCAACGAAAGAAACGCATAATGCTTTCGTTTTGTCAACGGGCAGTCAGTCGTGTGTAAATATATTGGATGACTTACCATACCGCCTGCGGGAGTGTTAGTTTGAAGTCCTGACACGCGTTCCGCCAACATTGTGCCATCTCATGGCGCAGCTGTAAGGGGTCCGACCCATTAGTCGTTCTCCATGCTTTCTGACATGGTCCCCCGTTTTCGATGTTAAGCCGCTCGCCTTCTTTATAAATTAATGTTTTCACCTATTTTTGCACTACCGACTGTTTGTGGGCAATGTATGAGTATCACGCCGCACGCCCTATGATGATGGTGGAAATCTAAACAAAAAATCTTATTCCCTGGAAAGGACATTCGGATACTTGTCTCTGCCGTAATTCCTGAGATGCAAGTATTCCACTGGTCAAATACATCTAGAGTCTTCTGCTCCCAATGTTACGCCAGTTCGTCACTGGCCGACTCCGATGAAACCGAATTGATAGTCATTTTTGCCGAGAACTAGTGAGAAAAAGCACATGTATTTTTTTAATTCTCGCTCTTGATGCAGTTCTTGTTCGTTTCTCTTAAGGGAAAGTATAAAATGCTGCGTTCGGCAAAGCTTAAAGACAAAGCTTTTCCTAGCACAGCCCCAAACTTCGCGGTATGACTTCATGTATAACTCACGTGTATGTGCTGGCTCATGCGCCATGGAATACCTACATTGCAGCCCACGTAACTAGTTGTTTTTATTGTACAGGTTCTTCACCAAGCCCTCGAACTCCTCAAGAGACAGGCTGCTTTGAGAATGATACCTATAACAGACGACTTGATTGAGGAATTCCGTACTGCCTGCGCGAAACGCTTCCCTCTGGCTGCCGTCTTTCTCACTCTCTCAGAATGGGAGGAGCTGCGTAAATCGGCCATCGAAGCCGCATACGAGTCGGCCCTATATGGCGCCTATCCTCAAAGCATTGCTGCTGGTGATGCGGAACGTTCAACCATAGTCGAAAACGAACTCGCTCCCGGTCTGAAGGCTGTATCCCTAACTGAGCAGCCGGTTGTCAATGGGAGCAGCGGTGGTGCAGTTGCGGACAGTCCGCCCTTGAATAATACTCAACAGTGTAAATCTAAGAGTGGCAAACGCAAGAAAGGAGTAGCCAACAAGGCGAAGGATCCAGCCTCCGTTGCGGCCGTATAGTTCGTGTACACGTGACAATGGCGACGGGGGTTGTGTTCTCTGTGTTGACCAGCAGTGCTGCCTTTCACCAAAACTTCACAAACGCAGAAATGCTATGCTAGAAGGTTGCACGTCTAGCTTTTGGCGCGTGCCCATGATGTTATTCCTTCTTAACCCAACAGTTAGACTGATCAAAGACGGTTGGCGTAATCCTGCAGCCTTGTTAGTGTTCTCAATCTCTTTTGTACAGCTCTGCTCCGGTTGTTGTTTTGTTCTATTTTGTGATGTACAGCGCCCCTTGTGCACTCACTATGCAGCCTGTGCCAATACAAGTGATCTTCGCCTGTTTTG